TTCAAGGGATCTCAAGAGAGGCTAAAGGAAACTGAGCGAATCTAAAAGAGGCAATAGAATGCAATAGAGATCAATAGGACTCAATAGAGTTTGATAGAACATATTTTTTCACTATACAATGGAGACCTTGGGTTTGCATTTCTAGCCTGGGCACTATAAAATGGAAACAGTGCTGCAAGCCCATTTACAGGCAAAGCTTGGAGGACAACTTCCACCGGGAGCTCCTGTTCCAGATGCAGCAGAACGGACAGAAGAGGTGTCTCGGGATGTGTTGGGAATTCTTGGAATATCTTAGGATTCTATACCAGCATTTTTTATACAGATATATATTATTATATATTGTTATACAATACTATATAATATTATATTATATATCATATAAGATTATCAGATGATTTCATGAGATATTTGCAGTCGGTGAACCTTTTGACGGGATGGGTGTGCATGGTTCGGGCGCGCAGCAGAGGCGAGCGTTTATTTTATAGTGTGCGTTTGGGTGCGCAGCTGATCGTATTCCATTTTATAGAGGGAATTCCCGGAAACGGATGCCTGCAATTTTCCTGTTGGGTTGGCTAGAAGCGGGGCCAGGCGCCATTGCAGCTCTTTTTCGGGCATCCCCTGAGAAGGTTCAAGGTAGCGCTAGAATTTATATAATCTAGATTAATCTAGAATATACTAGACTAATCTAGACTAAACATGAATTTACATGAATATACTAGAATATGAAGGGAATGTGTCGCCGTAGCGCCCCCGAAACGAATGCCCCAAACCAACCCGGGATGGGCCATTGCAATTCTTTTTGGGGCATTCGCTGAGAAGGCTGAAGTACAACTGCACTACTGGAATTTTCTCGCGTGAGAGTTGTTGCAGTGTCAGGACAAAGAACCGGTATGAACCGGTACAATATTATACAGAAGGCCTCTAAGTAGGCCTCTAGGAAGGAAGGATGTGGCTTCCAACGTTCTTCACTTGGTCCAGTTGGTAAACGGTCCTCTTTCCAACATTCTTCGGTTGGATACGGCTGCTGCCTGGTATCCCCCCTGGTGGTTTGCTTCCCGCGTTTTAGTCTTCCAAGCAAAGACCCGAACAATCCCAAAGGCCCCCTGAATACCAGCGAACACGGGAGTGTTGACGATGGACTGACTGTGGATTGGTGATGTCATCTCGAAGGCTACGACATCTCCGGGCACGTCCCACTCTCCTGGGAGCACACTCCATGCACGTTTGCCGCAACCTTCGATGAGGAAGAGATGCGAGGGACGAGCAGGGATTCATGTCTTGGACCTTCGAGATTGCGTTAGGATGCGTTAGGAGGTAGCGCTTGGAGGTGGATAGCGATGATGATGGACGCCAAGGATAGCGCCTTATTAGATCTTATTAGCATATATTAGCATCATGCAGGATCTGCGGTGCAGATCTGGGGAGCTTGAAGCGTGAAAGCGGCGAAAGCCGTGAGCTTTCGTTTGAGTTCCTGGCACACACGCCCGCGCGCCCGCACACACGTTCCAAGAAAGGCTAAAGCACCAAGAGAACCCAAGAGATGGCAATTTTCCGCTTGGTTTCGGCTTTGGAGCTGGGTGAATTTCTTAGTATTGACAAGTGACCTGGGGACCCGTTTTTTGATCTAAAAAACGGGCCCCCAGGACACTTGTTAAAAGTGAACCCAAAGTGGAAAATTGCCACCAAGAGAGGTCAAGAGGACACAAAAATGATGCAGACGGTAAGGGTCCTTACCGTCTGTATCACTTTTGTGTCCTCTTGACATCTCTTGGCACCTTCAACCTTTTCCATTTTTCCTATGATTTCCCATGTCTGTATCCAGCCGCGTCGCCTCGAACAGGTTGCAGAGCCACCGCTCCCTCCACCAGCTGTGGCACCATCGCGACCCCCGTCTCCAGAGCCGACTTGCCGACAGTTACCGAAGGACTTTGCAATACTTTGCAAGTCTTTGCAACCTGTTGCTTTTTGTTTCTTGTGGTCGGTTACCTCCATTTATCCATTTGGAATAACGCTAGAAATCGTTATATAGTTTTGAACTGTTTTGAACGATTTTATTTTTTTGAGTCATTTGGCTGGACAATGCTGGACATATCTGAACATGTCTGAACTATTTTGAGCACTCGTTTCTTTATGTTTCTTTGTAGTGAGGACTGTGAGCCTTCTGGGGAAGACCGTGACGCAAAATTGTGGGCCGAGCTGGACCGTGCTGCGGAAGAGTGCCCAGGTTTTTCGTTGGCAGTTCCACCCCCGCCCCAGCCGAAGAAGAGTGACCAGGCCGAAACAGCTGTTCATAGTGCGCCCATCTCTGAATCCAGGCCACGGACCAAAGTTGAATCGGCGCCAGTCAAATTGGAGAAGGTTTCGCCAGCAGTGAAGGGTGAGCCAGCTCATCAGGCAAAGGGGCAGAGACTTGAGAAGACCATGGCTGAAGTGCCTGCCAAAACAGCAGTTCAGACAGCGCCAAGCCAGGTGCCAATCAAATCGGCGCCAGTCAAAACTGAAAAGTGTTTGCCAGCGGAGATTCGTACTGCAAAGGTAGAGAAGAACGAACCAGTTCATCCTGCAGAGGGGCAGGGACTTGCACTTTGTCATGTGAAGGCAAAGGCTGAGAAATGCCAGACAAGCAAGCCGAAGCAGGAGGTGAAGGAAGAGAAAGAAAATGAAGCGCGTCCAGAACTAGGCCGGCCATGAAATGTTTTTGTTTTAGTATATTTTAGTATATTTGGCTTCAATAGAATAGAGTTTGCAGTAAAAAGCAAACCCTTCTTGCTTATAGAATGGCGCACCCAGTGCATTTTGATATATTTTAAATTATTTTAATATATTTTAATAAGATTTAGTAATATCCTTTGAATTCTTTGAATATCTTTGTCTTCTATAGAATGGACTTTGCAGTAAGAAGCAAGCCCTTTTTGCTTATAGAATGGTGAACCCAGTGCCTGACCAACACAGGCTGAGAGGACGCAAAAGGGATCACACCAGCCTTTGGTCCTTTTGCGCCACCAAATCCTTTTGTAGGGATCCTTTTGCGTCCTCTCAACCTGTCCTCAAAATTGTACAAATAGATTATCATAAATTCAAATTGCGCCACCACGGAACAATAGTGTTTCCATGTGTGTTTCCCCTTTTACAGATCAGGCCTGATCAGGGGTCCCAAGAATATGAATGATATGTTCCATTCCCCCTCATTTGCTCTATAGAATGGGTAATTTGTACAAAAAATATGTATGGTCACCATTTTATAGAGAGCATTTGGTGGTCCCCCATTCTATAGAGACAATCGGCGCAAAAAAAAACAACAACACGTGTCAGGTGCGATTCCAGGAATGGAGAAGAGGATCCTGGACTACGCAGAAAAGGTTTCCCAAGATGGTATGTACCTAGAGCTTTTGGACGCGGCGATGTTCTCCCTGCAACGCGGAAAGGTTTTGCACCTAGTGTTGCCTTACGATGATGGTGAGACGCTGGCCTTGTTCAGCTTTTTCTGTCGTTGTCGGAAGATGTCAGTAAGTTTCCTTGTATTTCAACAAGCAAAACAAATCCGTTAAGTTCCTTTGAGATTTTTTGAGATCCTTTGAGGATTGTTTCGGAATGTTTCGGATGTTTTTCGGATTTTTCTCGGATGGCTTGGCTTCAGGATTGATGTCACTCCAATCTCTCATTGGATCAACGAGATGTCTGGCGGACAGGTCCAACTGGACATGAGCCGCTCCGCTAAGGTATCGGACCGCTGGTACTTGTGTTGCTGCAATAGCGATTTCGACTTGAGTCCCAGTGCAGTTCGCAATCACTACATTCCGGCATTCCACAAAACCATGTTGTCGGACGATGACTATTTCCGTTTGACCACGGAGGCCTTGCTTACTACCAAGCAGGAGATTGGACGACTGCAAGCGAAGTATAAGCGAGCGCTGACAACGGAGTCAGGAGATGGAGCAGTTCAGAAGTCCGTTCTTGAAGATTTGGACAGGGAGAGAAAGAAGATCCTTGAAATTCATTGAACATAATTGATTTTTCAAGAATTTTCAAGAAATTCATTGATCCTTACAACCCAGTCACGACTGCGCCTGTCGTATATCCAAGGAAGACCGCCTGGATCAAGTTGATCATGGACTGTGAGGAGAAAGGCCTGGCCTTGATGGCTGTTCCTGGAGATGGGAACTGCATGATTTGGTCTTTTCGGGCATTGTTGGCTAGTGGCGGTGATGGTTCTTCTGTTTTTGAAAGCTATCAAGCCATGAGTGAGCAAGAGAAATTAAGATCCCAACTCAAGCAGGGCTGGATTTCTGTTCGCAAAGATCCATGCTTTCAGCATTTGTTTGCTGTATGGAATGATGATCAGTTTGCTGCGGGCCCGGAGCCTGATGCTGCCAACACGTCAGAGGCTTCCCAGAAGACACCTGAAAAGATAAAGAACACGGACAATAAGCAAAGAGCTGCAGAGCTAGACTCTGTGGACTTGGTAACCCCTGAGCGAGTTGCGCAACCCAAGAAACGTACATTTTCCAGGGTTGGTCAGGGGAAGCCTGTTCCGTTGGTGGCCCAATAACCTTCCAAAGAGCCTGAGTTGAAAGCGCCTTGTCCGACAAAGAAACGTCGGAAAGTGCTAGAGCCGGCAATTCCTGATGTGGAGGAGATTTTCTCGGAGATGCAGTTGAAAGCGCCAGACCCTCCAGCCATTGAGGACATTGATTTGGAGAACTTGGACGAGGGCAACTTGTATGCAAGCGATGAGGAGAATGGTCCACGCCGGCAGCGTGCTCAACATCAGCGGACATGCAAGACTAAGACCTTGTCGCAATCCCAGGTTCAGAAGAAGATGTTTGGTGACTGGCTAGCCAAGCGTGGTCTCACATACGAGAGATTTCGGGCCATGCATCAGGCCCATTGTCTGGTGAAGTCGGCTGCTTCGTGTGTGGAGGGTGGGTTTGTGAGTTTCAAGGACAAGTTGCTGTCCAAGACTGAGATCAAGTGCACTGCTTGCCAGACCCTTGTGGACATGCATGTTACATCTGTGGATGACTTCATCTCACATACAGAGACTCTTTCTGTAGTAGCTGTCGACAAGGCAGGGCAGGAGGCGCAGAATGAGCCAAGGAACCACCCGCGCCAGACTGAAGAGGAGGAGATTGAAGCCTGCATGAAGTACTTGGGCCAATTCCCAGAGATTGAGGCGCTCACAAAAACAATGCCCAATGTTCCTGGTATCAGGCTCTTTTACAGATGCTTGATTTGCAAGACACGGCGCCAGAAGGACGGCAAGCTCAACAAGTTGGGGAGACCCAAGTTGAAATCCGTTCAACATTTCCTGGAACAGCATTTTGACAGCAACACTCACGTCAAGAATATGAGAGCAGCACACCAAGCTGCCGCAGATCAAGACGGTTCCGCTGAGACTGACAGCCAAACTTGCAAGGGCTATTGCGCGAGTGATCCCAAAAGTACTGGAGCCTTGAAATCATATCTTGAGGACTTCAAAAGATGGACACATTTCACGAGTCTTAGTGAAACAGCATCGCACAAGTACTACACTGACCTCACTTCAGATAGTTGGTACATCAAGAGCAAGAATTGCCTAGGCAACTTTTCAAGTCCTTCATTGTGTTGCTCGGCATGCAACATACTGGGCGACGCGAGGAAAGGAGTGGTCAGGTATGTGAGCCGCTTTTCCTTCAAGTACAATGCTGCGACTTTGCTCAGCAAACGGATGTTCAGCCTGGAGGACGAGGCCCAGAAGTTCTTGACAAGCCTCGCTGAGACAACCTTTGGCAGAGTTCATGTGAAAAGGTGGAAAAGAATATCTGACTTGCAGACACACCAACTTCAAAAGTGTGTGCGGCAGATGTGGCAGAAGAACCAAGTCCAAACGGAGACCCCAGCATTTGAGGTCTTTCGCTCCTCAGTGGTGGTGCCGTGTCTGAGTGTGCAGAGCAAGTCCATCAATGAGAGGATGACCACACTTTTTGCAGGTTTTGCAAACGCGTTGTCTTCAGAAGATATGACTGAGTTGCAGCAGGTGAACTTCCAAATTGCGCAGGCGGCCATTGGTGGCCAGCTCGACCGGAATCCGCTGATTCAAGGCATCCTGGTTCAGTGCCTTCGGAAGTTGGATAAGGAGGGCAGGGGTATCAACACTCTTCGAGGGAGAAGAGGTGCCTGCACAGACACGGAGGTAACATTGATAGAGGACGCAGCCATGACGCTGACCATGGCTTCTTGCAACAGAGCTCTAGCCCAGGAGATGGGTCAGAATGCCACGGCCCCACGGTTGAAAGTTGAGGAGCTTCCTGAGGCATACTCGCTTCCAAATCCAAGCTTAGCTATCGACTTCCCCGACCAATTCGCCAACAACTTGGAGCTGGTAGACTCACAAATTGGGAAGCAATCTTCAGATCCTCGCTGCAGGCTGATCATGGCCATCGACCACACATATCTTCTCAAGTGCTTTGTCCAGGGACGTATCAGAGGGGAAGCCGGTATGCTCGGAGGTCCTTGGCACTATGATGACTCTTCTGCTGCCTTCATGAAGTTCAATGAGATGCCGGACAACGCGTTGAAGAAGGAGAAGGCCGGACTGATGTTGGAGTGCCTGGTATGGTCGCCCTGGGCACCAGTCAGGCAGTGCTTCTCGGTCAACAGTGTCCCCATGACTCTGGCACGTCGAAAGAAGGATTCGGCAGACACCCTTACCAAGCAGGGGAACTTAGTGCCTTGGCTGACTATAAAATGGGTTTCCAGGGCTCACACCACAAAAACATAATTATATAGAATGGGGCTACCCCGGGCAATCTCCAAGCCGATGTCATCAGATTTCCATTTTTCTAGTCAATTCTATTCTATAGAGACTTCCATGGGTCATGCTCACCAGGCCCCAATTTTATAGAAGGGTATTTCTCTTAATTTCTCTTATGTTATCTTATGTTGTTGAATTTTGTTTATATTTTGTAAATGTTTTCTTCAGTTTTCTAGATTTTTTATATTTTTTTATTGCCCTGCCATATCCTGTCCTTCTTTCAAGGAAATGCTGCACATTGTCTCCAGATTGTTGGGATCCGGTGCCCACTTGGTGAAGGGCATCACTTTTGATGCTCATATGTCGCATGCATACTTCAAGGAAGCCCTTTTTGGTTACTTTGAGACAGCCAAGAAGGAGGAGTTGCCATTGTCTGAGCTACCGTTCTTTTGTGAGGTGGAGTACATTCCCTTGCCGAGCCACGCGCTGCCAAGGTTGCCCATGAACCTGTGCCGCTACAAAGGTGAGTTCATTTGGCCCTTGCCTGGCAGTTGTCCCTTGGATTTGACAGGGTTCCATTTTTGGGGGTCTTGGATTGTCTATAAAATAGTTGCTCACATTGGTTCCCAAAGGGCGCCCTCTATAAAATTGGTGATTGCGCATTCTGGCCCGGGCCTTTTCTTTACTAGATTTTACTATTTTACTAGTATCATAGTTGTTCTTGTCCTTTCTTTGCTAGATACTTCCAGAAGCTTCCAGAATCTTTTAGAATTTACTTGTATGATCTTGTAATATCTTGTATATACTTGTGGTATCTTGTGGTATCTTATGGTGCCTGTTGAAAGCTATCTGGCGTTCCATTTTATAGAGCGCAAAATCTGTGACAATAGGTACATTTCCCATTCTATAGAGTGGAGATGTGTGACAAGCCAGAACTAAAACACCCTGAAAAAATCTGACACCAATTGAATTCATTTCAATTCATTGTTGCTGTGATTATCCATCGAGGTCACGCTGCGAAATGTGCGGCAGGGCAACTGAACTCGCCCTTGCGATGCTTGATGTTCGGACGCTTTGTAGCAGACAGCTCCCATGCAAGATCCTATGGGCTACCTCCGGCGGCCTACGCCAGGAGCGAGCCTATGAGTGACTGGCTCCACGCAATGCTGTACAACCCGTACTACACTGTGCGTTCACCAGCAACTTGACTTCTCTCAGTGTGCAAATGAAATATGACTGACTGGCTCAAAACGGTCCGTTTCTGTCGCAACTTGTCTTTTTCGAGGACTGTTGAACTGTCGTATCGTGTTTCCACGAGGATATTCTCACCGGTGAAGCAGACGTCCCTTGGCAACTGCGGGGATTTTTGGTATTCAACCTGACGGTAGCGTTGTGTACAGCAGCTTGTTCGTGCATTGGTCAGCTTTGGGCACAGCGCAGGTTTTTTTGTTGTTTTTTTTAGAATATTATGATTGCGATGCTATGCGTTATGATGCCGTGTGTCATTAATTGTCATTATGTTTTTTCTTGTGATTTCAGCCGGCTGTCGGTTGGCATCCTTCACGTTCGGTAAACATGAGGCCGTGACAATGCACAGAACAATGGCAGTGGTTGAGCGCTGTCAGAACGCCATGTGTGGCTTTCTGCTCATCGACCTTTTTGGCATGCTGGCCAACTTGGAGTGCTCAAAGCGATCTTTACCACGAGGATCACTGTCAATGGCACCGCAGACGGCTCGCAATCTACAATCTGTTGCCTTGAGTGTCATCGGAGTATGTGCTACATTGGGCAGCCAGAGAAGCCCGTGGCAATTGGGCCACAATCGCATGACGGAATTACCGATCGAGGAATGGTTTGGCAGGCTCCGGACACAGATGGCGAGTGCGCAATTTAGCGTCAGAGCCTTTTGGCAGGCCGCAGCGCGCCAGATGATCAAGCAGCAGAGGTGCAAACCAGAGAAGGAGAAAAAGGTTGGCAGCATTCCCCCTCCCTCGCCTGAGCTCTCGCCCAGTGACTTCTTCGAAGCCAGCGAGAAAGCGCTTAGTTCAGCATACCGCTTTGTGGCTTTCTGCGCTGGAATAACTCCGGCATCCCTCGAAGAGGTATACAAGCAGCATTGCAAAGACAATGTCCAGAGCCCCGATGACCTGGCGGATCACGAATGGGAAGACGACTTTTTGGATGAAGAGAATGTAGATGAGGTTGAAGCCCAGCAAGTTGTTCAGCACCTGCAGGAGGAGGCTCAGTTGACAATGGCATGTGCTTCTGATGACTTTGAGCTGGAAGCTGATCTGCAAGCAGCTGATTTGGGGAAGAATATGCCAGACATGGCTGATTTGCGAAATGTCATTGATGCCCCGCAGGATGCTGCCGATTGCGCTGCCCCGTTTGGCCACAGGAACGAGGGATACTTGGTTGATCTTGGGGTTTTACATGGTTCTACCTTAGAAAGAAAGGAGCTGGCCACACTGATCTTGGGAATTCTTCGGAATTCTTCGGATATCTTAATTATTCTTGGGTTGACTAAAACTGGTCCAATATGGTCCAATAAATTCCAATGATGTCCAATATTGTCCAACAATGTCCAACTAATTCCAACTATATTTGTATAATTTATTATAGTTTTGTATAATTTTGATTAATTTTGTATATATTTGTTATATTTTGTGACTATTTTTATTTCTTTATGGATTATATTGGATTATTCTGGTTTCTTCTTGTGTCACACAAGCAAGGACCAAAAAGCGAACAGCCACGGACACTGCATCATGCGGTGTGTTTCATGACTGGCCCTCTGACAGCATCGGCCATGTTCAACAGGATCTGGAGGCTCGTCATGTACCTTCGGTACTGGCAGGATGGCGGTGACAGGCACTGGATCCCGAACCCCAGGAATAGCAGACGGACAAGCTCGAAGCTGAATTGGTACCAGCCTCTCGTTGGCGCATGTTGTTTTTCGGTGTGTCTTTTTTCTGTTTTCTTGCATTCTAAAATTTTGTTATATATATTTTGTTAGTATTTGTTAGTCTTTTAGGATCTTTTAGGACTGTGTAAAAATGCTGCAAGCATGTTCAAGCAGACTAAATCTCTATATAATGGACATTCTTCAAGTTTAATCAATCTCCTTTCTATAAAATGGGCTTCGTTGGGGCTGCATACAAGAGTCTTTGTCTATAAAATGGGACTCTTCTGGTGTTCTTTGATGTCCAAACCTTTTGCCCAGGTTCACCCAGATACTACCAGTATCCTCCAGGATCCTCCAACAATCCAGGACATTCTAGGGCCATATAGGGCAATGATGGAATGAGACACATACCCCCTGAAAATCCTTCAGAGAAGTCCTTCAGAGCCCTATTTTATAGACTGTAATAAAGCGAATCTAAGGAATGACCCACCATTTTATAGGGTTTGAATGGGAAGAAAAACATCTTGTCAGGTGGAATGAGAAGAAGATCAAGGAATTGTCCATGGAAGAGGACGATGTGAAGTACAGAAAGAGAGCCGGGCGCTTGGACAAGTGGAAGCAGCTTGCGCGAGAGGCCGCAGACCAGCGGGCCCAGAGCACTGGGCAGAATATTACGCTGCCTGAAAGTATCGAGTGTCGTGGCGCGTAAAGATTTTTTGTGTTTTTGAATTTTGTTGTTTTTGTTTTTCTGAAACCTTCCGGAACATTCCGGAACCGATTCCAGATTCTGACATGTCAGGTCCGGAAACATCGTGCTCGCGGTTGTCTCCAGAAAGTGGCGTGGTGTCAATGTGCGATCGGGGATTATCGGCATGGTGCTGACGATTTGGGTGGGGGCAAAGAAGCCCAGGCCAGCCACAAGGCAAATCAGCATCAAACAAGCCGTGGCAATCCGCGTTGTGGAAATGCAGCCGGCCTCGCCAGATTTCCACGACAAGTACACAGCGTCAGACAAATCTATGGTCTTCATGCTGCAGCCACATTGCATCGTGTCTGTTCTGGACATTGTTGAGCACGAGAACACGTCAGAGCTGACCACAGTGACGCTCAGTCCTGAGTCCATCTTGCTCGCAGGGCAGATGGATTCCATTAGTGAGTGGTGGCCGCCTTTGGATCCGGCAGACCCGAAGAATGCTGCTCAGGGAGACTTGTATCCTGCTCGAAAACGTGGCAGAAAGAAACGCCGTGCCAATGAGAAGGAGAAGAAGACGGCGCCCAAGCCCAAGCCCAAGAAGAAGGGATTGAAGAAGGCAAAGCAGGACAAACGCAAAGGTGCCCTAGCTCTGGATTCAAGCTCAGAACTTCCTGCATCGGCTTTCAAGAAAAGTCTGTCTGGCAAAGCGTGCGTGGTTGCAATGATGGAGAAGATTCTTGTCGCGGACCGCCAGAAGTTTGAGCAGCGCCCGCTCTTCACGGTGGATGGTCTTTGCCGGATGAAGGTTGGGAAATGCAAGAATGTTGAGTGGTCCAAGATCCGAGATGAAGCCTACCATTTCTTTCTCGCATTGCGCTTAGGCTTCTTTTGGATTCTTTTGGTTTCTTTCGTATGTTTATAGTAGTCTTTGTATTTTTGTATGATTTGCAATCTTTTGTAAATGAAATCAAAGCAAATCAGGTATTCTACCAAGGCAGGTATCCGGTGGAGTGAAGCTGTGCATGGACGCTTGCAGCAGACGTTGAGGTCTCTTGAGAAAGAGGTCCCCAATCGCAAGCCGTGGCTCCGCCTCATCAAAGAGATTTGTGACAAGTTCTGCTGAGGGTCCCTGATGGGGTTGGTGAATGAGAGATGGTGGGAGTGATAATAGATCACCTTAGTGTGATCCGTTGAGAGTTTCCCGACGGCTCCTGATGCACGTAATTGAGTAGAAAATGTTACAAGATGTTGCATCTCTTGCAATGTCCACTAGGTAGGGTAGGGCTGATTTCCTCTGGCCAGTTAGCGTTTGCGTGTGGTGTTGCAGTATGTGGTATTTCTGGAATTTTCTGGATGTTTGTTTGATGTTGTTTGTTTGGCTGTCAGAAATCTGATGAATTTTGTATCATTTTGATTCATGTTGCATCATTTTTCCCGTGTGTGTGAGAGCCCGTGCGCCCATTGTATGACTGATGTGGGTGCTGCAATGAAAGCACGGGTGGCTGGAGGAAGCAGGATTCCATAGACATCTACGGAATTCTACGGACCGCTCAAATCCACTCAAGGTGGAGTGAAAAAAAGGCGCGAGAGAAGCTTCCGTTTAGAATGTCCGATTTGTTGTGTTTCTGCGTGGTTTTGTTCTCCTTGGAATTCAGCCTCTATAAAATGGGTCCCTTCCAAGGCTAAACACATTGATGTTGCTTGATACAAATTGTGCAATAATCATGCCTTTGCCCTGGTGAAGCATTCTATAGAGTGCTTTCTTGGTGCCCTGTAGAAATAAAGCATTGTCAAAATCTACCTTGGGTGCACCATTCTATATACATGCGCTTTTGTGGAGTGTGCCCTGGTGAATCCATTCTATAGAGGGTGCCCCCCCAGCAAATTTAAAAAACCAAATTATAGCTATAGAATGGGGACCCCCCAGGGTTGAGGTTGAATTCCAAGGAGGATCAAAAAACCAACTACCCAAAACACGCCGTGCTCCAGGGCCGGCGGATTCAAAAACGATAAACCTGTACACAGGCCTGACTGTGAGTTACAAAATGACCCTAAATTGGCTCAACTCGGTGTGTTCCTAAATGACCCGTTTTCCTGTGAGAAACATGTAGGCTCGACTTGGAATGCTTTGTATACAGCAATGAGTAATATATGATATATGCATATATGTGCAGTGTTTAGAGTGGAACGCGCAGGCTTTTCCGGCCCCCAAGGTTGTAATTATATACGTGCGATTTGTTTTTTGTGCAGTGCAACCAACCACAGCGCAACTTTTGGCCTTTGCAGCTAAGTGGATTGCTTGGTTGCCACACCCGCAAACACAAAACTTGATGGTTCGTCAAATTCTTGATGCTTTGCAGAATGTCCATATGGACGCCCACGCCTCTATTCTCGTGGAGTTCACGCAGCAAGTTGAGAAGGGAAACTTCACGGATAGCCAGGCCTTCGAAACCTTGCTTGAGGTCGGCGAGGGGTGGGTCTTTGGGCTTGTGCCAAGCTTCTTGGCAGTCATGGTAATCATTGGGATGGTCTTTGCGGGCCTCGTTTTCCTCACTATTTGCTGCGCCATATCCTGCAGTGAACCTGGTCCCCGCGCTTATATGTCGTTGGTGGAGGTTGATGACTCACAGTCGGCAAACGAGACTGGAAAATGGGACAAGGATCATTTCAAAACGTCTATCAATGACATGAGCAAGATGAAACAAAAGGTATTGATGAAACTGGTTGAAATGAAGCTTGGAGACCAAGCTCGGACAGCCACTGCCGAGTGCATGCGTGAGGCACAGGCTGCTTTGCCAGATCGCTTGGAGGAGGCAAACATCAATCCATTTGAGGCCCGCAAAAACATTTTGGCCAAGAAGAACGATCCATATGGTATGACAAAACTGATTCAACGTGTGCTGAGTGCCTTCATGTTGCAACACGGGCCAACCATTGCTCAGCAGGGCTTAGGTGGCCTTGGCTTGGCTGCGTGCGGCAGTTTTCTTTGTGGCGGTGACCTTCAATACAGGCTGGATGATTCTGGTTTGCACAAATGTGAATGGAAATGCTCCGAGGGTTTCGTGCCGGATGAGTTTCGACTCCTGCAAACTCGTTCTTTGGATTCCGGTGAAGCCACCCGCAATCTGGAAACCCTGAAGCTCCTGAAAAAAGACGCAGATGAATTCCTGAAGGCCGAGCAGGAGGCTGAGAGGACTGCGAACCTTGAGAAGTCTAGGGCCTGGGACAAACTTGGGGAGCGTAATGGGCAAATTGCCATATGACTGGGGAAGGGCCTACTCCAAGTCTGACCTCAAGTTGCTGCAGATGGCCTCGCCTTCAGCGATGGGTGAATTGGTGGCTCCGATGGCCTTGAGGTATGAAGGCAAGTGTGATCTTTAAAGGCAGCAAGTCGGAGATTCCAGAAGGCTCTATGGTCAAGATTCATGAGTGGACACCTTACCGCCACTCCACCATGATAGATTACCTCGGAGTAAGGGTTCAAGTGTTGAAGTCAGAGTTGGAGGGTGTCGAACCTCAGCTCCTTCCCATCCAATTGAGCCCCGAAGTTCAGAAGTGGTTGCTGGCCACGCAGCAGACTCTTCAAGTTAAGCTCCCGACACTAGGTGACCCGAGTCGATTGACAGATACCTTCTGGGTCTCGGCGGATGGCGGCGCACCGGACCCATAACATATGCCCCAATAGACGGTCTGTGCAGCGTGCAAAACGAACAAACAAATATGTACATTGTACATATACAAATTATATAGCTGTTTTGGAATAGATTGCGTTTCAATTGGAGGACAAGGCAATTAAACAAAGATAAACAAACATACCGAGCATAACTTCGGCACAACTCAAGAGACCCGAGACCCGGAGACATTCAAACAGACGAGGCAAAGAATCTCTATTTCAGAAAGTGCTAGGGAAGGAATAGAGGGCGCTGAAAAACGAAAGGAAAGAGAAGGTCACATATTCGCGGGATATTATATGTATCTTGCATTGTAGGGCGGAATGAGGAAATGGGTAGTGTGCATTATTCATCGGAAGATTTGGCCAAACATTTCTTTGTTTGGAAACCCTTAAATCCATCTGTTTGATTTACATGTCACGAAAGCTAGCATCAGCTAGCTGGAGTTGCTCTTGCTTTAGCAAGTCAAGGGCTCGCAGCCTCGAGAATCATGAATCACGTGAAAACTTCACGTGTAGGGGGCCCCCCCCCCCCCCCACCGCGGGTTCAACTCCCCCCTGGGACGCTTCCGGTACGTGCTATAGTGCTATGTTTAGGTGGCAGGTGAAGTAGGCCACTGTTTGAGTTTGGAAGGGGGGGCATGAAACATGAAATTTACGCGAGGGTTCAAGGCTTCAATGATGAGCAACACGGGAAGTCAGAAACCAGGCGTATCAGATACACGTGCCTTTGAGCTTCCTTCGGCATCTCAGTGCATATGGCTGACACTTCACTCGACAAAGATGCTCAAACAAACATACATAAGCCAGGTGTATCTGATACGCCTGGTTTGTGACTTCCCGTGATGCTCATGATGCTGCGTTGCTTTTCTTCAGTCCCTCATTACATATACATGACGATCCAACAGCAGATTCAACAAGCTCACATGTTCATGACATCGACATCGATAGAAGAAACCAAACAAATCATGCAAGCAGCTTTGTTTTGCCTCTGGGACACCTCTTGGGCACCTCTTATGGCATCCACACTGGTTCAACTCCTCCATGGAGGTTTTGGGATACAGCGCAACAGATTCAACAAGCTCACAGGTTCGTGAACACATCGGATGCATCGAACAGTGTGGCAAAGTCCAGCCACGCTTCCTTAATTATCGGGGACTTCAATTCTAAGGTTGGCTGTGTCATTGCTGTTTGTGTGTCTTACATGTTCACAACCTCATGAGCATTTGCCTCACTCCGCTTGATGTCCCACCAGTCCGGATGCACCCCTGCTAGCTTTCGTCACCTACCCTCGGCCTCAAGTATTATACCAAACAATGGCTTGTTCGAACGATCGAATGCGGTCCCTTGCCACTGTTTCTGGTGCTTGAGCGAAAAAAGGCAGCTGTTGCCTTGGATGTTTAAGTGAACCTTGGTGTATGACACTTTCGATTTGTGCTTGCCATCCTTCAACTCTCAACTCTTTCTACACTCCCCCTGCATCAGGCCGCTTGGCCTTGATGACTTGAAAACTTTCAAAACTTGAGCTCTGCGGCCCAAACTGCCTCTTCCATCTGGTGAATTTCATTCACTGTGCGGTGTGCACCTTGAGCACGGTGTGTACCGTAGCAAATCAGAGCGTAAATTGACGCACGCTCTGTTGTTGTGGATCACTCCACCCCTTGGTCCAAACATTGAGTCGAGTGGACCTGCCCACATTTTGGGTGCAAGTGCTGCGCCAAATCGCCCGCCTGTATTCTCTCCTCGGTTTCACCATAAAAGTCATAGGTGGGAGATCAGTGGTATGCGCGTCCGCACCTTGTGGTGCACGCAGGTGGATCTTGATCATCATCATTCATCGGCCTTAGACCATTCTGCTTTGGTGTCGGCTTTGGCTCGGCCTTTGGTAGTGACTTTGGTGGCGCCGCCTTTGACTTTTCTTTTGCTGGAAGCCTGAGGATGGGTCACGTCATCATCATCATTTTCTTCTTCTTCTTCTTCATTTCTTCCTTTTTCTTTTGAGGCCGGGAATAGTTCCCGTACCAGCGTTGAGGGTTCGCCCCAGCTGGGAGGTTGAATCCACTCGCCTTTCGCAATTGAACTAAATCTACCATTGGTGACGTAAATTGAATTTCTTCTGGTAGCCCTTGTGGCCTTGGAAGGTTCGGTATATTTGGTGTGTCTTGTTTTTTTATTGCTTGAATTTGAATTCTTTGATTTTTTTTTTTTTCATTGAGATATTGGAAATCTTTTTATGTTTGGATCTTTTATTCTTTCTTCAAGAAGGTAATTTCGGTATAATATTCTTATATATTTATTCGAATATTATATATTATATGCTATTTTTATAAATTTATAAATTAATTGATATATTATAATATTGAATAATTATTATATTTAAAATAATTTATTTCTTTAATAGAATATTATTGATAATATAAATATGATATTACTATATAAATTAGGGTTTGATTAATAATTGATGTTTAAATAATATAATAAAGAAATATTAAATGAAATTAAATATATATATTTAATATTTAATTATATATTAATATATTTAAAATATGTTAACAACATATAAAGTATATTAAAATAACAAAAATAAAATTCTTTATTTATAGATATTTTCGATGGTAGTTGGCAGATTTAATCGAATATGGTCGATTATTATTTAGGATATTTCGCAATGAATGACGGTATTATGGATTTAACGGTAAATGTTTTGGGAATATTTATTTTTATATTTAGTTAGGGGGATTTTAAAATAAAAACATAGGATAGATTCTTATTGATTATATTAATAATGATTTAATTGAATGATATAATTAAAATGTTTAAGGATTTTACAATTGGAATAAATTGAAAGATTGTAATATTATTGTTTTGATTTGTCTGCAATATTAGGATATACGAAGTAATTAATGATATTCTACATAAAAGGATATTTTTTAGGAATTAAAATAACGAAATAAAAGGCTATTTCGCAAATCGGATATTATAGGTAAATCGCACGAAATGCTTGTAGCTTTGTGTTAGGTTTTATTGTTTTGGGTAGTAGGTGGAATTATCTAGCTATTTATTTATCCGATAGGAATAAATTAGGCGATCTCCAAATATATTTAAAGACCGCATAAATTAAAGGAACGAATTCGGGGAGATTAAATAATATAACCTATTTTTCATTTAATCATAGATTTCTTCTTCGACGAATAGGATGGTCTTTAATGATAAAAACGCTAGGAAATAAAAAGAAGGCTCTAAAAATTATTTATTACTACCATTAATATCTAATTCTTAAAACAATTTAATTCTATTTATCGAATAATAATATGCGCTTATATAACCGCTAAAAATAAAATTTACGAATTATTTAAAAAAACTAATTAATTAATTATATAGATGCAAATTAATTTCTTTAAAAACATTATTTTAATAATAATTTTTATTAAAATATATTTTATTTTAATTATTAATAAAGATATGTAAATTTCATTACGAAAATTACGAAATATTAAATTCGAAATATAAAAATCATTTTTTTATTACGTAGTATAAATATTTAATTCCGAATTTATTATATTTTATTAATATTTTGCAATTAAATCAATCGATATAATAATATTACTATAAATACATAAATATATTAATTATAACAAAAATTTATCATTTAACCATATTCTATTATTATTCCTATTAATTAATTCAAATATTATATTATAAATATCATAAAATATTTTAGAAATATATTTAAAAAATATTCTAATAATAAAATTTCAAATATATCAATATAAATTTTATTTTTAAATTTCTATAAATACAATATTTCATATATTTAACAATAATTTGTTTGAATTATATTATAATAATTTCAATTATAAACACATAAATATATTAAAATATATAATAAAATTCATTATCTATTTTCAAATTAATCAATAATTTATTTATTCATAACTAAATCATTTTAATAAATATATAAATATATAATAATACAAAATTAACAATATACAATATAATATATAACCCATATTAGTTCTTTACAATACTTTTGCCTATCAAATCCTAAAATATAATCAATTCCAAATCCTAATAATTAAGACAATAAAATATATTAATTCATAAATAACAAAATCAAATCCTAAAACCAAAGCTAAACAAACCCATTAAAAATTAAATCCTAAACAAACCCATAAAGAAACACATGCAAACCTAAGCCTAAAGAAATTTGAGCGGGGAAATACGAAAGGTAGAAACGGACCGGGTAGTTATCGGGACCGTGTCTAGTAAAGGATTATCTCCGGTATTTTCAGGAATATTTTCCTTGGTCAACCATGGATAGAACCAATAAAGCCAAAGAGCACAAGAAGGCCCAAAAGAAGAACACCATTACGATCAAATTGCGTCACCCGGCTCTACAAAAAGGTTGCGTTGCGTCGACGTTCGTTTGTGTAAAGGTATGTAAAAACAAACGCGCGTAAAAATCGCAATGCGTAAACGCTCCCATATTAACCAACTATCTTCCCACAGCTACACGCACTGTGTCAGGATTACAGGCCTGCACGCGTTACGTCGAAGCCGCACTGCCAAGGATAGACGTCACGCTATGGTAGGTAGCTGCTGGGAAAGGTGCGTAAATAGTTATGTAATGGTGCTCCACGACGCGATAAAATGTGGCCACGCGAGGCTCCGCGAAGCGAAAGATTTCTCCATAGGGCTTTGCAAAGAGGTTATATTATTGCATCGATACTCGTTGGTGTCGAGCAATATAATCTATAAACGCAATATGCGCTATGTCAGGCTTCTGGGCGTGTACGCGTAGTATCGAAACCGTATTGCGCAACCTCATTATACAAGGTTCGTGCTATATTATGCAACCTCATGGCCAGCGTCGTACTGCTGGGATTGCTAAACGCATAACTTCACCTTATCGTATCATGGTGTGTCCAGCATGCTAGTAATGGACGGGAAGGGGAATGGAGGGGAGGGGGAGGGGGGAAATGCAAAATAATTAATTTATCAATAAAATATTACATGGGAGGGGGGATAGGAGTGTTAGACATTGTTTAGTTCCGAACAGGCGCCCAAACCAGCCCCTTTGCTTCGCAAAACAAACTCAAGGTAGTCCTTACCAAGTTACCTTTCGTAATCAAACGTTAAAACCAAGCCCAAACACACCCCCTAAAAAATAATCAAACCCTAAAACGAACCCCCAAAAACCTAATAACACACCAACATGATTTCGTTTATGCACAAAATCTACCCTTCAAACCTTTACATAAATCAATAAAAACAATCAGATTCCTTATAAACTCTTTCTACTTCTATTTGAGCCTTTTGCATCATTAATAAAATGCAATTTGCATCATAACCAAAATTATGGGGACTTCCTTTCGTCCACAACACCAAATTATTATCCTATTCCTCCTCATCTATATTTCTTTACACTTTCTTTATATTCCTATTGTCTCCTCGACAAGTTTCCAAATTTCCGAATTCTAACGTTGAGGTGTAATTAATTCTATCATTCAGGTTGGCTAACTCCGTCATAGGTGTCCTAACTCTGTCTTCTCCCATATAGTTATTTATCAATAATCAACATATTCTGTCCTAAATCGGTATAAACAACTATTCTAAATGTCATTTATATAAATACCAAAACAGTTGAGTCACCATTGTGTTATATTTATGACTACGGACCTATATCAATCAGTACAAATAGTATTATTTTGTAAACTAATTCGTACAGAAAACAAACTATTGCAAACCCATTGTAAACCTTTAATTTGCATTTAATTCAATCATTCGACACATACATGGAAGGGACGTTTGACATTGTAATTCCTAATGGACTACTTTGTTCTTGTACTGTATCCTTTTGCGAAGCTGCAGCCAACTTGCCCTGCTGGAGATTGCCTTGTATAATGATTAAGGGTTGAACATGGTTGAAGGATGTTGAAGGCATGTCTTTCCAGCATTCAATCACACCCAATACAAGGACGTTGTCAACAAATTTGGCACCGATGTCGTCCACACATTTTGCAACGATGTGCTCGATGGGTTTGGGTGGAGCAAGAAAAAGCTCTGGCCACTTTTCGACCAAAATCCGCCCCTCAGGAACGGCCTGTACCATGTATCCATCTGGGCCGGCATGGGCACACTTGAAGCTCTCTGTCGGTTCTGGAGCTTGTTTCTCTTGAAAGTGCGCCACAGGAAAAACCGCAGGACCCGACGTTCACACCTACCTGGGCCAAGACTCGGGTCGATCATCTCAAATATGGAAGTTCTGGAAGTACACCAGTGACAACAAACTCCTGATCCAAGAGACACATGTCGCATGCGTCTTGACTTCCACGTTTGTCTGCAAAATCTCTACGCCACCTCTTCGGGGCCCTCCTCAATTCCCTCGCTTCAAAGCTTCCAGTTAATGGTTTTGGATGGTTCTTGGGGCATCTCCAATCAAAGGATGAAGTTCTGAGGCAACATGGGGGCGGCTGGGGCTAAGACTGGCATGCCCATACGGCAACAATAGCAAAACAATGCAAAAAATAACCCATGAACGCCGGTTATTTGTTAAACTGATTTAACCTGTTAAACATTGGACCGAGGGCTCTGCAGCGGCAGCGCTGGATAGATCTGTTAAAAAGTTTCAGAATGTTTCAGACTTGCCTATTCACATCAACATACAGTCAATTGCTGTTTGTTGGATGTGACACCGCCATCGCAAAATACGGGCAAACACAAACAAAAATAAAAGAAACAGGTCTAATATAGTTAAGATGCTACTAGTAGCTCCTGGCATCGCTACTAGGAGCAAGGACGCTACTAGTGTTACACATATGGTCAAATAAAGACGCCCAGTTTCCCTAAAGATCCAGGAGCCAAATGATTAGTGCGTGAACTATCCTGCGTCTTAGGTAGTAGGTAACTAGTAGCTTAGCTACCGTTTGCTTCTACTAGCTACCTCTCCCTCTACGGCCTAACCCCCCCGGCCTTAGAAACAAAAAAAAGCCTGGGTATCTCTGTGCAATTTTTCTAATAGAAGAGCTTTTGGCACTTGTCTGCGATGAGTCGTGGTCGCAATTCTGATGATGATTCAAAGGAGCTGCATCATTCATCACTCAAAGCAAACATGTCTGGAACAACTCCAGCACCGACTCTCAAAGAACTAGAGAGCGAACAAAAGCACTGTTGGATTGCAGCAATCGCTGATGCAGCTGGAGCGAAAGGCTCCAAACGGGCGGCTCCAAACCAAAGGCTATGACGCAAGCTATCTCGGAGATCACCTTTGCGTGATCGCTTTGGAAAAGTGGAGCCACGAGAAAGTGATGCAAGGAGGCGGAGATCCCGGAATCTGGAGACTAGCCCAACAAAAGAATGAACAATCTTGACCGGACTTTGTGGGACCACAAGCTGAAAATGCGCAAACTGAACAATCTTAACATACCATTCATTGTAGCGAATCACGTTATGTGAAGAAAAGAACTGTGGCTGAGTCCTCCGGTCGAACCTCTGATAACCTCTAAGTTCTCGAGTTCTTGAGTTGGGAACATGTTTGGAGAAACTGAGAATCATATGCATCATGCTTTCCCTGTTCCATTGGTTCCATTGCCCAGTTTGGAGCTTGAGCTTGTCTCAGTTTCCAGGATCGACATCCTGAAGACTGAAATTAAATTGAAACACGCTTCCTGCAAATTCCTGGAAGAGAGTGGGAAGGTGCAGCGAAAAAAAAATTAACAAAAGCAGATCTCGGGTGGATCGGTTGTACCGATGCAATATCTGTCCACTTTTCTTATCTTTCTTCCCACCCTGTTTTAACCTTTCTGTATCAAATCAAAGGTCAAATTTAAACAAATTGTGGTTTCTCTTAATGCCAGAATTGGCCATGTTGAGGGGATTGTTGTGAGCTCTCTGCGTTTCATGAGTGTTGGCTTGAACATAGGTGCAGTTGCTCCTCACCGTGCTTGCTAAGGTCATGGAGAGCCAATCCTAAATTCCATGTGCTCGGCTTGCGGGCACCAAAGGATGACAAACCATAGGCTCCCTCTGTCTGTCCTGGAATTTCTGCAGCACCGTGCAGCAAACAAACAAAAACGCATTTTTACTTGCGTCATTGATTATCCACCTGGCAAACGCACTATTTTCCATGCATCTCAGGCTCGTTCTCTACCTCTCTCCCGCCTAGTAGCAACATAATAACAAGAACATTGCCTGGATGCTACTCTAAGTTTAGCCCTCTCAATGTGCAGAATCTGTGTCTCAGCAGTTGCACTCCTTGTATAGCCTTCTGGGTGACAGCTGCAAAGTGCTCGAAATCTGGGGCCTCAACCAGTCAGGCCGTGGATGGGGAATTTGGGTACCCAATAGAGACCACAAACACCGTTTGGTGCAAAATCTCTCTCTCTCTCTCTCCCTCCCTCCCCTCCCTGTCTTTCCCTTGTTTTTTCTCCCAGCAACTGTCAAAGGACAGTTTCTTCAGCATAAGGATGACCTCACTGATCCCACCCGCAAGATTCAGCCCAGCAGCTCAGCAGCCAGAAAACATCCCATCAGCTGAGCACAGAGGCCGCAGGAGATTCATCTGCTAAGACCCTCAATCCTCAGGATTTGGGTATGAAAACTGAAAACCGTTCTTCTCCAAGCTCTGTCGGCACATTGGATGCGGCATCTCACTGAATTTCCACACCTTTGGCACACATGTTCACGTCTAATTCGCTCAAAGTTGAAACCTTTTCGGAAAAATGGTGTGGGAATGGGTGGGGCCTAGGACCTGAAGGTAACATTCTTTTCTCAAGGTACTGCACTCCTTTTCGATGTCCAGTACTTGTTTGGGGCTGAAGTCGAAGAAACCTATTGCGCTCATGATGTTTTCCTCCTGTGTGCCACTATGCTGCACCTGCGTTGCCGCCCCAACAAGAGCTAATGCTCCTTACGGCAAGTTTTTCAATATCTACGTTTTCTGCTCAGTACTAAGCTTGCTCTCTTGCTTTGGTTGGATTAATCCCGATTACCCATTTAAAAAAAGTACACCTATTTAAACAAAAAGTGCATGTCAGAAACCCATAAATACCGCTTATATTTGTTTTTTTAATTGCCGCCCTTCAAGCCGCTACAGTACTAAACTACCAACATGGCCGATTTTGGAGAATTTTTTAAAATTAGGTTCCAAAACAACCGTAACCGCCCACCTCTGTCCACCCTGTCTATCCACCATGACACGCCGTGTTTACACCAGCAGGCTTTCCTTCCCCCAATGGCACGGACTCACGCAAACGCACTTTCCACCCAGGTCACGCAAAACCGCATGGCACAGCGACATCACCTGTCGAAAGCTTTGTTAGTCTAATGAATCACTATTCTAATATCGATCTGGAGGTTTTTAATTTTTGATACGAGTTTCATAAAGGATATACCATTTTCCTGGGTAACTTTTTGGTTTTGAAGCCCTTCCGAGGTGACCCTTTTTTGGACCCCCGATTTCAGGGACCCCCTACAAAAAAATGCGACCGAGATTTCCTTACTAGGGGGGGGCGTGTTTTTAATAGGTGGACCGGATTAGTGGGTCGGGGTTTGCAGCAGAAAAGTATACATGCGTTCAACTGTTCTCATGTTTTGTTTCGATCTTTTGTTTGTCTTTGTTTGGTTTACGAGCAGAATGCACAGGGGTTGGGGATTGGATTCACCAGGGTCACAACGCTGAGATGCATTGAGTGCGCAGCTCTGTCCAAAAGGCATGAACAAGTAATCTTCCAAGTGGATCCAACTGAGGCCAAGATAGGTGGTTTGCCTGGATGACATTAATGTTGTGAGGCTGAGGTGTTCAAGTAAGAGAACCGGGTCTTCTCGCTCGCTCGCTCGCTCCCTCTCCCTCCCTCCCTCCCTCCCTCATGGCCCCAAATGATCTACACTGGCCACAAGACTTCTTCCCAAAGTGCTGTGGGCCAAATCGACCTTCAACAGTCGCATGAAGCTACTAGGAGCAAAGGGCATCGCTACCAGGAGCATGCAACTAGGGGCTCCTGGCCTTACTAGTAGGAACAAGGAAGCTACTAGGAGCAAAGGGCTCTTCGATGCTCTTTGGCACCCTGATCAAGTTGGCGAGATTTGGGGACGGTGGGGGGTCCCTCCACCTACATTAGCGCTCAGGAGATGAACAATTCAGAAGGGTCCTGATGCTTTTCGAGTTCATCCTCCTTGTTCAGGTCCTTTCAGCAAGGGCACTGATATTGTGTTCCTGCAGCTTCGATTCCGTCGCTGTTAGGATTTCATTAGGCTTGCTCTCAATCTCTTCCATGTACTGCTCCAGATTCTCCTGAAACCCGGCTTCTGGGCATCAACGACATCGGATACAGGTTGTTTTCTTGGCGATTTTAAGTTGTTCATTCCCCTGATCGTAAATCGGGAAATCCAGGTTTGGAGGCCAAGGATGCGAATGGGTTTTGTTATTTCCATCTACTGTACACAATTGGTGTGCTCTTGACCCACCTCATGTGCCCACGGCAAAAAACCCTTCTCCAAGTGTTCATCATGACGGCGACGGTTTGGAGGGCCAGGTGCACGCACCCCCGGAGGCGCAGCTGGCCATCGAATGGTGTTCCAAGAGCTCTTGTGCTCAAGCATCCCATCCGCTTCCATGTCCACCACATCCTGACCATCAATGACTTGGCGTGGCATCCTGGGCTCCAATCTCACAAACATATCGTTATTCTCAAACCGCACACCTGAACTCGCGAAAACTCGTGCAGTAAGTGAAACTGTCCGAAACAAAGGAACCTGAAAGGGAGTTTCTGATCTAGCCACACTATTACTATTGTTCCTCGTCGACGTCATTTTGGGTCATTATATAATTAGTGATTTAACTTTATATAGTGTTTCGCCCTTTTGCGTAAAGCATCAGTGACGTGTAACTCTGAGCGCGCTGGCTGCCCCAAGCTTGACCGGACTTGCCAAACTTTAGCAATCTTTGATGGTGGCCTCAGCGCAGAGCGGACAGAACTAATACATCCTAGCAGTGGCTGGTTCACGATAGGCAGGCGGAACAAATCCGCAAATGGACTGGCCAGGTGCAGGGCGAGCGGCGGTCTTCCAATGATTTGAGAGACTCAACTTTGACTTTAACTGAGTGCCCACGTGGCACTTTGCTCGGTTCACGTGCACGATCACCCTGGCGCTTCTGCTTGGCTAAGGCTTCATCGACAACCGACGCACCGCAGCCCATGGCGAAACACTGAAATTCTCAAAGATGTAACCCATGACCCATCCTGACCTTAATGGGACTTGCTGCATCCTGTTGCTGGCCGATCCTGAATCATTGTCATATAATGTCAATATATAATATACGATGTCAATAGTACAAATCGGCTGACAGTGCCAAATCGGATGAAGTAAGCCGAACCAGCAAAGGCCGCAAAGTGTGGCACCCTCAAAAACACCAAAACACGTCAGTTATAAATAAATTCAATACATTCGTTTAGCTGACCTGTTTTCCCAGTCACTGACAAAATGCCCGAATGATTGCAATGGAGGATATTCACCAACCTCCCCCCAACAAGGTCCCATTAAGAATCCTTTATATACCGTTACCTCCTGCAAATTTCAAATTGGAGGAGGTCGGCATTCCCCCTTTCTCTCTGTGACTCAGTTTTGTTGGTCTATTAGTGTGTGTTTGGCATCGTGAGATAACAATTGCTCAGCCGGCTTGTTCATGTGCTATGGCAGTGGCATGTGCACAGAAATGGCAGGAGGGGGTACCACAGCTCTCTCAGGGCCCCCCTCCCTTCTTCTCGTTGTGCAGGATAGGGAGAGACACCCGGTTGGCTTGTCCACGTGCTCTGCTATACTGTTCCGCAACCGTGCCGAGCTGCCCGTCCCGAAAGAACTGTCCATTTTCCATCCCCCAGTCACCTGTGTCGTCGTTTTTGCTCACGCAAGGATGAATCCGCAAGCGTTCACTTTTTGAAACCAATCTGTGGACGATTTGTGCCATAGCACCTCATTGCCGAGCTACAGTATCAAGCCTAGTCGAACTACATCATTCCCCCTGGTCTGCGATCCATAGGACCAGCCAAAAAGCTACTAGTAACAAGAACATTGCTTCTAGTAACAAGTGCCTTACTAGTAGTAACAAGAAGCTATTAAATATATTTTAGATTAATTCTAATAGCTTTTTGTTACTACTAGTAAGGCACCTGTTACTAGCGTGGCACTTGTTACTACTAGCTTCTTGTTCCTCCTGGTTTGCCAAATCACAGATTTTGGAGACAGCTTTTCTGTTGGAACATATGAAAACATCACATCATGCAACATCGAGGCACGTCCGCGATGTTGCAATTGGCCAGCGGACTGAATGTCAAACACGGTCACACCTGATCATAGATGGGAGGTTTTCACATCTTCCCAAGTACTCAAGGATCTTCTGGGTTGCTTCTCCAGAGGTTTTCTGGGATAAATCCGATGTTTTTCCATATTTTTCATTTCTTTGGTGCTGGTTTTTGTTCTCAACGGTCTGAGCCACTCACAAGTTGTGACCCACACCAGCAAGCGTTTGCTGCACACCCAAAGGGATCACCCGGGCAGGATCTTTCACGCAATGCTCAGGTCTTGCCACTCCCTCGCCTGCACGGCAGTGGCTAGCCAGTCCCACAGCCCACAGCAACGACGTTACATTGATAGGTTGACGTGTTCATGTGTTCTTGGCACTCTGTCACTCTGTGTGTTCGTGCAATATTTTAAGATTGCAGTAGATTCAGTAGATGAATTTCCCGATGCTGTCAATCACAGTGCTGCTTCCCCATTGTTTGTTGATCCCAAAGCACATTAATGCGGGTGGTTCAGGGGATCACTGTTGTTGGACTACCACACGCTTTGTTTAGAGCAACTTGCACGCCCCAAGTTCTCATGAGTCTTGGAAAGGGATCCTGAAACTTACAAGTGAAGGCTTGGAACCTCAAACAATCACACCTCAAATCAACAACCTCTTGGAAGGCCATCTGTCCACTGCGTTCTTTGGCAGCAGTCCCATGGATTCATGAGCCCGAACACACTTCATTCACTTTATGAGACATATATACCATCCGACCCCTGCGCGTTGTCATTCTCAGGTGCGCTGCTTGTCCTATATCTTTGTTGGTGGTAGTCAGACATCTTCACCGTTGACTTTGTGTAAACACTTGGGATGCAGGGGTCATCCGTGCCGGTCTGCGCCGGTCCGTGCCATCTGCCTTGCGGCACGTAGGCCGAGTCGTGGGTCTTGTGCCATGCGGTCTCGCTGAAACCATATTTCCGAGCTGCGCGGGCATCGACGGTCTGAACATGTCCTAGATTCGCGGCAGCGCGCAAGATGCGGCCATCGTCCCCAGCAAAAGCCTGCGCTTTACCTTGGTCACTTGCGATGGTGGCCAAGGAAACAAAACACATGCAACATGTGTTATCATGTGTTTATATGATATGAACCCTCAAACACTACGTCTCACAAAATCGGAGGTGCCCACCTTCTACGGACACTTTGGACCTGCAGCACGTGACCCATTGAACAGTTCTGACTTGCTGTATGACCCAACTAGGGCAAGTCAAGCACAACCCGAATATCCACCGACCGGTCTTCATCTGACCCTGTTCGAACAGAGGCTGCCCCATGCTGCGCTCAACGAAGTCAAGATGCTTCGATCTGTTGTGACATAAACGCCCTTTCCCAGCAGTCCATCTTTGGAGGGGTTGAAGCCCTTCTTGAGGATGGCCTGAGCCGCATCCTTGGAGGTGCCATGGTAGACCATCTCCACTTTGCCGGGCTCAATGTTCCGGGACTTCCAAAAGGCTGGGTGAAATGGATTGCGCTGGTTGGCTCGGTTCGTGTCCTGGAGAAGATCATGCCACAACAGAAACTTACCGAGCCAAGGTCCCTGCGGCCGCCTACGACCTGCCTATCGTTAGTTCCCAAATGTCCCCATCGTTCCAGTCACCCCGGGCTGAAACACAGAAAGGCTACAATGCCTGGCCGCTGAATGACCCCACCCAACTGGGAGAACTCCATGGCGGGTTGTTGTTCAGCTATGAAGTCAGGCCGGGTCAGCCCGAAAGATTTTGTCCTGGGAGGGCTTGGAGGAAGCTGACTTCGAGCTTGTTTGCGCTGCCTTCTGTGCTGCAGTGGGTGGCAGTCCCCGAGACTGATGAAAGGCTGCGTGGCATGGATTCAGTTGATTGGCACGGTTGACCTGGCTGCTGGGATTGCTCTTGTGTCTTGACATGTCCACGCTAGCATGCACAAAGGTATGGCAAGAACACCTGTAAAACAAACAAAACCAACCAAATGACCAAATGCAAAGGCGGTGAAGTTCTGCAGGCCTGTTGGCCATGCTTTACTGGTTCTCTGCCCTGCTACGCTGAAAAAGGACTACGTGTGCTGCTTTGCTAGAACCTAGGTTTCTGCCCATTCCCCAGCCTGTGAGCTAGTAGGCTTGGGACTTGAGGTCTTTGCCTTCAAGCCAGTGCTCTTCGAAGTGTTTGAACTGGTAGGCTTTGAACAGGTCTTGACTGTCTTGACCGCAGGGCCACGCCCACCCCCTCGACATCCGGAACCGCCGGAAGACTTGCCCATGGCCAACGGTGGGCCACGGTCGAACCAAAAATGGCTGAGGGGATCGTTTCCGGAGAACGACATACCCGTTACAAGTCTCCGGAGACGCCCGCAGTGTGAACCCAAAGATTTGGTCCAGGGCCTGTTCAAGCACCAGGAAAACTTGTTCAATTAAACCCCCTTTAAATGGGTCAGTAAGTTTGTTGTCTCCTCCATCCTCACTTGCAGTAGCTGGCTTTGTTGCATTCAGAATGGTTCACTAACCTCAACGAAATTGGTTGCTTCGCCAGTGATAAGTGGAAACATGTGGAAACTATACTGACTGCAAACACTCTGAAACACCATCATCCCGCGGCTATCATCCACGACCGCATTGACCACGCAGCAAATGTCGCAAAGCCCATAGATCTCGACGTCTGTGGGAAGCGCATGTGCTCCTTCTTTGAGGGTTCATCGCGCGTATATTTGACTGCAAACTGCAGGTGACGACCAATATGCTCACCCTGTGACAGTGTTTGTCTAGGCTTGGCTGACATCAAGTTGATCATACAGTGCTATTGGCACCTGAGAGTGTGAGCACTATATTGCACCATTTGCCAAGACATACCGGGGGTAGGGCTGGCGCTTGTGATGCTGTTGTGGGCAAGACATGGCAAGACCACCCCTGCAATACTTCCAAGTTGCTTGACTAGTCCCCATTGATCAGATTTCTCCACAACGCTGAACATGCTCACACCCAGTGCGTCGACCCCTCCACCAAGTGAACATAACAAGCGATAAAAAGCATGCCCTTATGGGTGGCACGTTTGGCTGTTGCTTCATTCTAAAAGCGCTGGCCTCCACCCTGTTGCTGCATTTTTACGTCCTTCCTTTCTCTTCCCTTATGGCACTTTTCCTGAAACCCCTTGTGAGCATCAAATCACACGATAAGAGCATCATCCATCATCCTGCAGCCTGACCGTGCGAGGCCACGTGATCTTGCCCATGGCGGAGAGGCGGACAACCAAATTTTGTGCAGCGTCAGTCATTGTGGATATATACAGACGCTACTGGGAACAAGGGCATCGCTACTAAGAGTAACAAAAGGCATTACTACTAGTAGCAAATAGCTACTAGTAACACATATACAAGTGCAAAGATTTGCGCTGAAAGTCTGGCAATCGAAATGGGCAGAGTTGCACAGCCAAAGGTTTTTTCCATCCAAGACTACACCAGCCAGGAGGCAGCTTCCAGATTTCTGCCTGGACCCTTGCCACATCCACACTCGAGCAAAATCCGGCAAACTATGCCAAAGGCCCAGCGGAGGTATGGGATCTTCACTTTCCGAGCCACGTGATACGAGATACAACCCACCTCATCCTAAGAAGGCTCATGAATTGGATGGAGTCAGTAACACGTCGGCGCTTTAAGATCTTCAGCCATCGAGGATTTAGAATCTTGCACCTCCCTGCTTTAGAGACCTGTTGCAGCTCCCATGTCACGGTAGCTTTGGCCCGTCCCAAACAAGTCGTCGAATACAAATTTTGAAGTTCATCTTCAGAGTCTGGTAACCTACCTTGGTTTGGGGGGCATACCCTTGCTTGCGGACATGTCCAACTCTTCACCCGCCCTCTTGCCGCCCCTTATCTAGGACCAGGTACAGGGAATTGTGGCCTCTGGTCTAGAACAATGAAACAGGAACTGCCTGCATCGGATCATTGCATATGCCGGGTAAGCCGCGGCCTTAACAGCAATGGTTACAAGAGGCATTGCAATATATGATATAGTTAAGGCACCCAAGCCGGGTACGGGTCAGCAATTTTTGTCCGAATCCTAATTTCTATCAAGCTCTCTAATTGAAAGTCGTCCCTCATCTGAAAAAGAAACTCTCTCTGTATATGCTGGCCAGTCTCATAGTGGTGCTCCTAGCCTAATGCCACTTGTCACAATATTTGACTGGATGGTCATACTGAAACCGCGGATAGTGTCTGCTCGTGTTAAAAATGCTTGTGGTTAACAATTGCTTGGGGGATCTTGGTTGTTATTTTCGGTGTTCTGCCGGTGTTGGAACTCGTAGGCTGGACGACCGCACCCATTCTGCTCCGGCAGAATTGGGCGGGGCAACAGAGTTTGGAGAATTAAGGGCTCTCTTGTCCTGTGTCCAACTCACTCCTCTTTAACAGCTCGCTCCACCGGAGCTCAGCATGCACTGAGTTGAGGATGCAATGTGAGAAGAAACACGCAAACTACCATGCCTCAATCTGGAGAGCAGCTGCAGCTACATTGAATCATTTCTATATACAGAATCCCCAACCCTCTCTACCTTGGAGGAGTGAACTAGACACGTCTAGAGGCTTTTGTCAGGTGAGCTGCAAGCGGGGCGCAAGTCATGCTGCTTCATGTTGAAACCGGTTGTGTCTCAACACTCCATGATGATCCTGACTGAACACTCCGACTGTTGAGTCATTTCTCGTTTCATCGACATCCGCCTTCCGAAAGGCTCCCAGCCCATTCGTACTGCGAAGTTGGCTCAAGCAAAGAGGCCCATGCCGCAGAGATTGCGGCCAACGTCACAATGGGGTTGTCTCTAAATTCCATCGGGGGACTTTGTCACCCAAGGTGCCATGTGTCTACATGTGCATTTTCCAAGGTATCTGTGCCATCTGTGATCCAAGGTATAGTCTATGTCCTCTTCCTTTGGTGTCCAGGGCCTCCCTGTTGAGACAAAGCTGCTGTTTGATGGTTCGCATGGTCCGCACACATCCACACACACACGGTTCCGTGTGTGATATCGTGCGTCTTCCCAAAAGCCCAAAATAGATCTGCAACAGAACTCTTGGACAATGAATCTTGGCACCAGCATTTGGTCACTCTAAGCTGAGCTTTTTGGGATGGAGGGAGGGATCAGTTTTTCCTGGCTTCCCCCTTCATACGCGACGGAGTGATGCATGCAAACGGAGCAGCGCTATTTTCAGCCTGTGCATGACCGGTGCCGGGCCAAACAAAATGGCAACCCCCAATGCGCAATGCTGCGATACTGATAGCATTCCTGGTGACTCCTGCTACAAGACTTCTTCATTCCCATCATTGAAACATATTGAAGCAAACGCATCGGTCTAAACATGTCTAAAGACCACAGCCTATCCGTCTATTTGAATGGCGCGGTGGCTGCCAGTGGCCGAATCCAACTCCTCCCGGGACCCATATTCTGATCGAATGAACGTCACACTGAGGCTCAGAAACACCGGTCCCAAGCAAATGATTTCCTTAGCATTATAACGTTTTACAGGAAGGGGGGTGGCACCGATAAGTCAAATCAACTTGAAGGCATTGCTTGTTTGATTTTTTGGCATGGCTGCGGCAGGCAAACAAAAAGGATCATGGAGTTTGATATTGTTTGATGCCGATGACATTGATCACAGTGATAAAAAGTTGCCCCCCCCACAAGGCATCAAAACCACTCCGACCCCATTGCTTCATTGCCACACCTGGGTCTCAAGCTTTCTCTAAATTTTCCTCGGCTGCCAAAAGCAAAACGATGCGTGTCTTGCTGAGAAAATCTGCTTAGGAGGACCTATTTCCAAAATGCATCAAACAGCTGAGCTCTCTCCAGCTCCCAAGAAAACATCATGTCAGCCAAAAGGAGCCTTCGCATCGAAACGGTTCGAGTCTGCGGGGGCGTGCGGGGGGCGCAAAGCACGTAGTTGCCAAATTCAATCTTCAGCGGTCACAAGTGGCACAATCAAGAAAAGAACATCTACAATCTGCATCGGTAGTTGAACTTCTCGGTTCCTTCGCGATGCACAACTTCCAAACCCAATCCATCACTCTCACATGCAATTGACAAGGCGCTCGCTCTTGGTGGGTGATCCAATCCAATATCTTCGCAACTTTTGCATCTAACTGCCGCACATCTGAATGAAGCGCCACCTCATCATCGGCACTTTGGACACGCGTGTGAAACCTTGGGGACACCAAGGTGGAATATCTACCCTCACCACCACTAAACAAATCATGCAGTCATATAGACATTTTACGCTGAATCTAATTTGCTACGGGAGCTCAGGTGTTGGGGCTGTCATGGAAAACAGTCTTCCGAAATGGGAGCTGAAAAAGGAAAAGGGTGCGGCTTTATTTGGGGAACGTTTTGCGTTGCATTTGGACATTTTTTGTGCTTTCGTGGTTTCTCTATAGTTCTCCCGTGGAAGTGGCCAGCCATCTGTTTGTAAAAGAAATATGTGTCCGGGAGGCCGTTTTCATGTCCATTCCCAGATTATTTCAGGGTGCCTACCGCCTGTGTGCCAAAATTATATACTAACCACCTGGACCACAAGGCAAAAACAAAGCTCCGGCCGCAGGGCGAACAAACATGAGACAAGTACATCATAATCAACCAGGGAGTAAAGAATGAAAGAACTCTGTTCGTATGATGCCCCTGTGTTGCCCCTTAGGGCGAACAGCAGAAAACAAACAACAAGAGTAGCAAAAGTATAGAAAACCAACAAAACAGGAATACAACAACTATATATATATATAAGAAAAGCAACGGCAACAAAGGCCATACAAAGCAAAAACAATTAAACCAGGGAAACAGTACGCCACAACAGAAGACGAAGCACAAATTGTAGACAAACACAGGAAGTGCAAAACGAACGCAAAACAATAAACATACTTTACTTCAAGTGATCCCCACCATGACATTTCAATCTGGCAAGTTTTTGGGCATGCATTGAAACATTCTTTCGGCATTCTTTCTGGCATATCTTCTGACATTCTTTCTGGCCTCTCTTCTGATATTCAGTCTAACATTCTGACTGGCATATCTTCTCACATCTTTCTGACCTTCTATCTGGCATATCGTCTGCATATCTTCTGGCATTCTTTCTGACATTCTTTCTGGCGTTCTATGTGGCATATCTTCTGACTCGCCGTTGAAGTCCGGCGAGGAACACTGCCCGCCGAAGCTCGCGGCTGAGGTCCGGCGGGGAACACTGCCAGCTGGAGCTGGCGGTTGAGGAGAAGGACGATGAGGAGGAGGAGGAGGAGGAGCAAGGCAGCTGACATAAACTCTAACAACCCTCACCCGACAGGTGGGGAATGCAAAACAAACGCAAAAAACAAGAAAACAAAAAACACGGGAGAATTGACAGGAAAGCAATGAAAAACAAAAGCAAAGCGGGGAAAAACGCAAACGCCTAAAAACAACGCAAGACAGGAGAAATCGTAAAGCAAGAAAAACAACAAGAAACAAATCAAATGAAGGCAACACAAAAATTTTCCGAAACAATTGTCTTCCGTTAAAAACAGCTAGGTGAACGCCGTGTGGAAAGACCGCGGAATGTGAAAAAACATAGGCAGGGTTGTTATGGGGTGCGTCCCCGTGCCCATACATAACATCATGACGCCAACCCCACTCCATGCCCGGCAGGTTTCCCACCTGATCGATGGCTCGGGCGGGGCCTTTGCATCTCATGATTCCATCGATGAACTCATCCAGAGTAACCTCACGGCCAACAACAACGTGCGTTTACATTTAAGTGTACTGTGCTGGAGTGGCAGGCTGTGGCAACTGCATGCTGGATAGGCTGGTTCACTGTGCGGTACTATGCGACGATGCGTGCACAAAAACTAAATTTACAATATGTTATACATGAGGACTCATGTTTGCGCAAAAACTGCGCTAAGTTCCGTTTGGGTGTGCACAACTGCATGGTTTCAAGCCTCCCCGCAAAATCTGAGTTTATTGATGTTTGCTTGTGTGGCATACAAGCGAGCCTCTCCATCACCGTTGTCGATAAGGTGAAACAAAGCTCGACCTTAAATCGCCGACCAAATCGAAAAGTTCCCCACAACTGGCGACAGTATGCGTGTGAGAGAAATCCGCGCCGGCAGCAGTGCAATGCGTGTTTGTTCTCACGCCTTGAGCCGCATTGTGGGTCATGTGAAGAGGCCATAACTCACGTGCGAGGAAAATGTTCAAGTTCAAGGCCAGCGTTCACACCGCTTTAGTTTGTAGCAATCGCAAAAAAGTTTGTGGCAGGGTGAAGGCGCCCGCTCATGTTCAACGCATCACTCAGCATGTCCTTGGCTGCGGTCCATTCCATCTTGGTGGTGGCCAGCGTCGGCGGGCGCCTGGGCGCTTCAGCTTCAACCTGTCCTTCCAGAGCCGGGCCAGCCGCAAAAGCGGCGGCTCCTCCTCGATTGGCCACCCCAAGTGGCGCTCAAGAGGTTGCTGCCGATCCGGTTAGGTGATGGGACAAGCTCTCCACACATGTGGCGGTTGATCAAAATTCCTTCTTGCTGAGAGGCCGTTCTTTGCCAACAAAACATGTACTTTCGCGAACTCCATGTTTAATCTTCGCGGGGGATATATCCTCTCGAACGCTTCTTGGTTTAGCGGTTCTACAAATCAGCCTAAGCACTTCCATCTGTTTGTTTTGTTTGTTTTGGAGGAGCACGCTATCAACTGTTGTTACGCTCATGTCTTGCTAGGTCTTTTGCTGCTTGGCTTGGGCAGGGGTCCACAAAACAGGCCTATGCTTTCGCGGAACTTTCGCGAATCTTTCGCCAAAAAATGTCGCGTCTTTGGTGGGTTTCTAGGCCCAAAGCGAAACATCAAAAGAGTTGCAACACAGCCCAGGGATTGTGCACCGCAAGTGTGAGCCGACTGATGACTGACTGTGCCTAGGAGCCATGGCCAAGCCAAATCACTTTAGACTGCATCGAAAATCAGGAATCAATGCTCCTCTTGAGTGAAGTAAGTATGAAGTATATAGTTCTAATATAGAACATAATAGGATCTTTTGAAAGCTCGCGAAAGTAAACTTTTTGTCCGCAAAAGAAGTTTACTTTCGCGAGCTTGAGAAACACTTTCACGAACAACTTGAGGAGGCTCTCAATGACATAGGCATATGTCGACCTTTCGATCAACTACCATGTTCCATATAAGTGGCCTCAGCACCGCGGCAGAATGGGCAGCTTGCAAACAACGGGCTAACGAAAGCCCTGGTGGCAAAGGCCATAGCATGATCAGTTTCTTATGACGGGCCTCTTCTTGATTGCTTTGTTCAGCCATCCTCTTTGGAATGATGCCGGCATCTCATGGTCCCCAATTATTGGACATGAAATGGAGCATCCAACATTTTGTAGGGGAGGTTCATTCAGAGATGCTCCTCTATAGAGTCCAGGACCAGCAAGTTTAAACATGCATCACTGATTCATCACTCTTGCCCTGTTTTGCTTACAGAACTGGGGAACCCAAGATACCGATGAACAGGTCAGAGACTGAAATGGCCTCTGTAGAATTGGGCGCCGCAACATCTGCATTTTGCTGTCCTCACCCTTGAGATTTTCAGGGCTGGTTTTTCTTGACAGTAAATCATCACCCCTTTGCGGTCGACTATGATTCGGTAACCAAAACCGCTGATTCGGTAACCAAAACCGCTGATTCGGCAACCAAAACCGCTGATTCGGCAACCAAAACCGCTGAGTCGGTAACCTAAACCACTGATTCGGCAACCAAAACCGCTGAGTCGGTAACCTAAACCACTGATTCAATAACCAAAACCCTGAAACCAGCACAATATAACATTTCCAAAAGAAGAAACAAACGACCCGGGTAGTAGTATTAGTAGTGGCAGTGGGGGTGGTAGTGGTACAGTAGTAGCAATAGTAGTAGCAATAGTAGTAGTAGTAGTAGTAGTAGTAGTCGTAGTCGTAGTCGTAGTAGTAATAGTAGCAGTGGCAGCAGCAGCAGCAGTAGTAGTAGCAGCAGCATTTCATCACAAAACAACCAGGACTGCGCGCGTGTCTCTCTCTCTTGGTGGTCGCAAGCACAGACCAACAAAAGCTTTTGTTCGATCCATGCCAAACTAGCATGGCAGAACCCTCAATGAGTTCATCTTCATCTTTCCAACTTAATTACAAATGCTCGTGAAGATGCTGTCGCTATTAGGGGCACCGTACTACACTCCGCTGTAAATACAACGATCAGAAAACTAACCATACGCTGTAAATAACGACATATTCTTGAACCCTTTGCAGCCACATGGAACGTCATTATCTTGGCCCCCACTCTATTCAGCCATATGCTGTCAATACAAACTGTTCTTACTTGAATGAATGTTGAAGCCCTTTGCAACCACATCGAACGTTATTATCTTGGCCATGGCTCCCCCCCACCCCACACTCCTCGTGCCCTCCACCCCATTGCAACCATCGTCTGGCTTGGTTTCTCAATAGTCTGACTTGGCTTCTGCATCGGCTGTTTTGGTTTCTGAATCGGGACTCGCTTGGTTTTTCTGAATCAGCCCATGTGGTTTTTGAATCAGACTGCTGTGGCTTCTGAATCGTAGTTGCTGAATCGTCCTTTTTGGTTTCTGAATCGTAGTTTCTGAATCGGCTATTTTGGTTTCTAAATTCTAAATCGTAGTTTCCTGATCGGTTGGTTTCTGAATCGGCAAATTTCCCCTCTTTGCAATGCCAGAGTGTCTATCTTGTGAGCATTTTGTCAGCGGCCTTCTTTTTTCTCTCTTCTGCTTCTTGTCGTGCTTAGTTTTTGTTCTCCACTCACTCAGCAGTTTAGCTGCGCTGCCCCAACCATGGGAAAATGTTCAATTCTATAGGGGTTAGCCCAGAATCACCCTGAGTGACGCCCCTGCACACCAAAACAACCTCTACAGACATTTAGTTGCCAAAGCACAACCATTCACAACATGACTCTCTCTCTCTCTCTGTACCTGAGAAATGTTTATTATGTCTGTCTATAGCATTGAAACACCTAACACTCAAATTCTCCAGAGACTCCAGATCTACCACTGTATACAAAAAATCGTTTCACCGAGCACCTAGGTGCTCCAATTTTACAAAGGAAATTGCTACAAGGATGTTCAGCCGCATTATTCTTACGCGCTTGAATTGGATCGAAACCTGCAATGCCCAATGTTTTTGCGACCAACAAGAAGTGTCTTTTCCATGAACAGTTTTTCTGGAATGATGTTCGAGTTTAGGACCTTAGGATATTTCATACGTTGTGCTTGCTCTCTTGCTTGCCAAACACTGTGTGTACATGCGGCGCACAAAACAAAACACACGAAAATCTATATATACCATCCATACCGTTGACAACCGTGTGCAAATCGTGTGAAAAACGAATTCTAAGTAAGCACAGTCCATTTGCCCCGAGGTGCTGCACACCGGCCTCTGTTTGAAGGCAATTCTCATGACAGGCCTAGGACTAGGCCTGCTGACACTCACAGCCGCTAAGCCTGCTCTTCCTGTCTTGCAAGTGAGGGCCTTGCGATCATGCACGATGATATAGGACGAGCGCGCCCAATCCATGAGGACAAGTGATGTGAATGTCATCCTTGTCTTGAGAGGTCGTTTCGCCACAGTTGCGGAGGGTGCTGTGCTGTCTGGATCCTTGCCGAACTTCAACCTGAAGTGCATGAACTTAATAGTATTGAGAGCTTCACCATCTCCACAACAAACCACCAACATGGCAAATTACCATGCCACCGAACAACACGAACACGAACACGCTGCCTAAATCTTCAACAACATTGTTGTTGAAGATTTAGGCAGCGTGTTCGTGGGAACCTGGCGAAACTTGGCGGCGCAGCGTACGCCAAACTACCCAAGGAGCATCGTTAGAATGGATCCGGGATGATCCGGGCTTGACTCCGAGAATTCCATCAGCCGGTGGCCGAATCAGGATGACCCCGGGCTAGGCCTTGCGCTTGGTGGCAGTGATGCCACCAACGTGCAACATGTAAACGCAGCAGCTCGCGTGAGCAGTGCAATGCCTGCTTGTTTGCATGCCTTGGGTGACGTGGTTGTTTGACCAAAGCACTCCCAGCAAGCACATGGCATGGCGCTGTAGCGGTGTTTTCCTGGTTGACTACGAGGGCTGCCGAGTCACCAACGTCAGATTGTCTAGTACCACTTGTTGTGGGACCACTCAGGAACCTTACGGTACTTGCGGGGGTGTATAATGTATGTATAGGTGGTCAGGAGTATCGTTGTAATAAGTGAAAAAATGCTGACTGACAAGAACTCGAGGTCTTTACTTCCTTCCAAAGCCAAGGAGGGAACTAACCTACTAGCAATGGCCTCCAACCTAAGAGCGATGGCCTCCAACCCAATGAGCGATCCTGAAGCACTGGTAACAGCGTTACCTGCTTGAGGCGACTGGTTTACTCTGGATGTGCCTGGATCGTCTGTTGTGCTTTTTGGAGTGCCGATGGTGCCGCGTTTTGAACAAAACAGAGCAGGTGGCAAGGAAAACTTTGCTTGTCAACCCACTGCAGCAACCACCAGAAACCGCTGTTGCTGCAATACGAAGATGCCCGGCTCAACAGCAAAATGAACAAGGGGAGCCAGGCCACCGGAATTTCAGTTCAATATCACCCTGCCGCACCTGATGCCTGAGACATCCTGAAACATACACAGGCCACTAAGGCCCCGGCCCTCTCGCACATCCAAATCCATTGTTTGAAAATATGCCTCCACTTGCGGAATCTCCAGGATCGCCGAGAGCCGCTCCTGGAAGAGGCTGAGACAGATCAAACGGGTGGCTACGAATCATCGAACGGCTGGCAAAAGGGCCCCAAGCCGTCGATGCATTTACTCTTGTGAGCCCTCTTCTCTTCGGCGTTTTTTGCAAGCCTCGGCTCGCATATACATATTCCTCGGAGATCCTTCAGGCAGGAATTTCAACAATTTCCTATAGCTGAAAACCTGACTGGGGCCAGAATCGGGTCGAAAGCAACACTCTGGCAAGAAACCTGCAAAACCAATCAAATGATGCTCATGGACTCATGAACATGAAACGACAAAACCAGCGGAAAAACCTGCAAAACTTAAAAACAACACTGACAACACCCATAAATTTGCAAAAGCAAGATGACATTACAACATAATACTACCAACAAAAAAACAAGTAAAAAGGGCATCCAGCAAAAACTGCTACAGTAGGCAGAAAGACTGCCTGTGAGCAGAACTTTGCCTGTTCAATCCCAGCTACGAGCATAAGTTATATCATCCCTTCTCATCCAAAAATAACTGGATCCTGCAAAGCACCAGGTCCCTGGAAGAGAAGGAGGCTCCCTTCTTCTTCCCATATGACCCGTTTTGCCTTGAGCCCTTCGTTTAGCTTCTAAATCAAGTATTATAAACGATACAAACTCAGGAAGAACATTGGCTTCATCTTTAAACCACGTGGAATCGTTAAATTGCATACAAACAGTTGCACCCCACTTGTGCTCCACTTTCCGTCCTTCATCATCCTTCCCTCCAAACTTGCTCCAAACTTGCTTCGTCATTGTTTCAACTCGCTCCCTCAGGAAACGGACAGGACAAAAAAACACAGCATGGACAGCTCCTCCGTGATCAGCCCATCCTTGCCTTCATCGATTGAGTTGAAGATCCCCTGCGCACGGTCGGCATTTGGTGGTCTTCAAGGCCAGGTGTGACGCAAAGCAGCCCACAACAGGCCGCTAGTGAAACAAACCTACAACCTGGATGCTACATCTACCTCCCTGTGGCATTCTATGGTTTTATTATGTCATATGACTCCCAGGTCCTCCAGCTTCTTGACAAACTGCTGCTTCTTTTGCAAGCCTTGGGCCGTCGGGGCTATTGGTCAAGCAAGTGCTAAACATGGAGGACATGTTGTTTTCCCAGAAGCGAGTTGATGAACAGCAAAACCTCGCCAAACAACGCAACCACTCCGGGGGGGCTTTCGGCATTGCTCTCTCAACACTTTGGGATCCAGTTGCACTTTAGCAACGTGAAGATACGTGAAGTCCCTGGTCTTTAATCTGAACAAATCCACACTCACTAGAACACTCTTCGATACTTGTTGTGGGGGTCCAGTCACGTCCAGTCCTGCCGACATCCTGCCAACGCCGAAGAGCGATCGATCACCAACTGCTCGGCATCGTTTTGAGCCGCGTCCAAGGTATCTTTCCTTGGTACACAGCCGCCATGACATCTGAAAGCCCGACCCTGTTAAAGAAACACAGTATGTTTCGGTTTGTTGGCCACATGGGAACGTTTGAACCGACCGATTTGAGCCATACTCACATGACGCGCAACCAAAGACCTTTTTTAGATCATACTCTTCATGAGCACTAAAGCTTCGATTGCGTTTGCACAAGTCACAAAGTAACTCAATCTTACATCTCGGTTTTCTTCATTCACTCGAATGGCGCAACTGATCACTCTGGTTTGGTCCACGGGAGGCAAGACTTTGACCTCAACATGAATTGGTACGTCAAGAAAATAAGCAATGCCTGAGACTGAATTGTCGTTTTGGTTTATGCAATGTATATCAATTGATGTATGCACACATTCCAAGACTGAAGTTCACGGCGCTACGGCCCTACCAGCTGGCGCCTTGATTGCACTAGACTACATTGAATGATGTTTACAGTAATTAGTTGTGACCTACGCTTGGCAACTGCCCCTCCCAGGTGCCAAAACTTTTGGCTTTTTGCACCGGCACTTTGCAATGCATGGGAGAAATCCCAAAGGGTGGTTGGACAGATTGTGGCATCTGCTGTGCACATACCTGAAAATGTCGCAGGTTGGGGCATGGCATGGTGTAATGTCAAAATTGCTACTGCCAACGTGGCAACTATATACTTAGTCAATGGCCGCTCTTCCAGTTTCCTTGAATTGACAGCAGGCGGGGATGATACTAAGTGACTAAGTCTAGAGTCTAGACGATTGATCGTGGAAAGAACAAAGCACAGGGAAATATCAAGGTCCAAACGAGCAATATCCCAAGCGGTTCAGTGAGCGTTTCGACGCAAACTCCCGAAGCAAACAGAAGAATTAACTCACACCCATCGATCAGCTACTACATGCCCAATGAACTTGACAACTGTGGTATGTACAAAAAAGCCTTTCTCCCAAACACCCAAGAACACTTTGGCATCCTGCAGTGTAGGAACTCGAGGGCTCAGCAAGACATATTGCGACAGACCGCAGCACAGAACTGCGTGAAACCCCGAGCCTTTGCTCGTTCCTGCTTACCTGCACTGCCTCATGTCACCCAACCGCCCACACCCAAGCAGTCCCAAGCAGTCTCCGAGTAGCAGGAAGACAGCGCCAATAACTCGAATCACTGCAAATACAACCACAGTTATATAGAACCTCAGGTTCAAAAAAAGTCTTAAACACCTTTCACTATCTTCAGAAAGACATTATATTCAGTAGCACTGGTGTATAGTCAACATAAAAGTGGAGATTAATCGAGGCAACAATGAATCATGATCATTGCTATTCCCGCTGCAATTTTGTAGTTGGCTACCTTTGCCGCCTCTAAAGATTCTTTACATTGGAATTCCCTGCAAACCACTGAACCACCCCTCCAAGGGGCACGAAGAAAATCACAAATGCATCGCTCGCTTTTGACATCACTGGCCGCGTGAGCGTAGGCCACGATCCAGCGAATGTGATCCTTAGCTGAAGGAAGGAATGGACAGGAATGGATTCGAGGGACAGAGAAAGGAAAGCAAGGGCCCTTGCGAAGGCTGCACTTGGTCACATCTTTGGCAAAAGAGGCCTTGCCATTGACAAGAAGCCCCCCTCCACCCGGGCATGTCCAACAAAAGGTCAGAAATGGACCACGCTTGCCATGGCTTGCTTATAGTTGGATCACTTGAGTTAGCAAACCCATCCAAAATACACGAAACCAAACACACAACGAAACGTCAACTTGCAATGCTTGGCCGGCGAAGCATCTCAAACAAAGTGTAGGAGGCCCGGTACCTCAGACTCCGTGGCATCAATCAGCATGCGGGACCCCTGCAGTCAAAGGCTGGGGCTTTCCGCGAGCTCACAGGGACCCCTGTGGACCTGTGGGAGTCCCTAGTAGTGTCCTTGCTCCGTTCGTAGCGATGCCCTTTGC